TTATGATATGGGCCTTTCCAAGAGAGGAGGAGTTTATGCCTTCTGAGAAAACTACCTTCTTACTACCTGAAAAGTCCCTCAAGTCATTTGGCCAGAATCTAATAAGATGAAGTTTAAAGGGGAACAAACATGGGAGGGGGAGACACAGAATTCAGTCCAGATTCAAAACGAATTGATGCAAAAATATCTGGAGGTTTCAGTTGAGATGTGATCATTGAGTTGAAGGGTTGAGATAGCCCTCTCCACTCCAAGCTGGTCAGTCCTTTCTCCTGAATGCTTCTCCCCATGAACTTCTATGGGTCAGAGGAACTCAGCACAACCCATAGTGAGAAGCTTCAGGGAAGACCACAAGCAAACCATAGAGAAGATTCCAGTAAAGAGAAATATTTATCTCTGGAAGCAAAAGGTGGATTATCTTTATTTCTGTCCCCAAGGAATGAACAGGCTTCTGCATTTATTGGATATTTGTAGCCCTCGAGGGAATGACCAGAACAAAACTTGTAACATTTCATCGAAGGAATGTCTCTGATCACAGCTATCCCCAGATAGACTGAGCAGTCCTGAGAGGTAAGGCATGTCCGTTGTTGAGGGACATCTAGTTAAGTATGACAGAGGGACTGGAACTCTTCTTTCTCATAAAGATATTCCAACTTTTCTTGGGGAGCCACCGTCAGCCACCCTCAGCCCTGTGGATCAGCAGAATTGAGCACCTCTTGCTCCAGAGGTGAGTGTCTACCTACACTTAGTCAAGGAAGATAGTTTCTTGACCACAGACACAGGTCACTGGTCATCACATGACTGTGCTGGGCCAATCAGCCTTTAGAAGATCTAATGCTAGATAAAGGGACTTAGAACAGATAAGATGTAAGCCTGGAACTGCTAGGAGCCACCTGGTCATGAGAACGGGACAAACTGACTGAAAAAAGGCTCCTTGTCAATCTTCTGAAAAACAGGAAACATGCCAGAGCTACATAGCAGAAATAGACTATTTTCTGATAATAATCTTTGTGTCCCCAAAGCCCCCCATGCCTGAAGCCAAGGTCATCTTGGAAACGCTAAGAAGCCTTTTCCCTCCAAGCAGGGTGAACTGTGTTTCTGTTGTCTGCAACCATGGGTCCTGATCATTTCAGATTGCCTCTAGGATTGCCTTCTGTCCCACGTGGCTCTGTCTGAGACAGATCCGTGCCCTTAAAGCCAGCCCACCACCATGAACTTCCGAATGACTTTCCCTGGGGCCGGGACTGGGTGCAGGTTTAGTCATACATGCTAGTCAAGAGTTCAGTGTCTGGGCTACATCCCAAGCCCTTTTGATATTGAACTGGGGTTGGAGAGTCACAATCTGTGCTGTCAGGCCCAGCAACCTGCTTTCAACAAAGCAATGAAAAGATCCAAATTAAAAGTGGGAAGCAGAAAGAGCAGATTTATTCAATGTTGACCACTTTGAGAAAAGGAACAGAAAGATCCAGAAGAACCCTGGGGTCCTGAAGTGAGATGGAAGTTTAAACAGAGAGCCAATCCTATGCTATCCTAGTTAAGGTGTGGGCTCACCCACTGACCCACCTTGTCTGGGATTCAGTCTTACACTGACAAGTTGTTATGAAGTTGAGATGAAATCTGTTTCAGGGAGACAAATGCACGCACACACACTCACACACACACACACACACACACACCCCTTTTCCTTCTGATGGCATGAGATTTTTGAAGAAATCCTTGTTTTGGGGGGTCCACTGTTTCATCCATCTGATAGGTTGAGAGACACAAGTACCTCTTTAGAACATCTTTATTTTAGACAGGCCTGTACACTCCTTCGGTTTTTGAGATGGAGTCTCACTAAGTTGACTGGGTTAGCCTTACATTCACACTGTGGCCTGAGCTGGCCTTGAACATGAACTCACGATGGCTCAGCCTCCCAAGAGCAGCTGAACTACAGAACTGCACCAGTAGGTGCCATGGGTTTCTGAAATTTGCAGTGCTGCCATTTCTTAGACCAGAGTCCCCAGGGCTAGGGAGCGGCTCAGTGGTTAAGAGCACTTCCATCTCTTGCAGAGGATACAGGTTCAGTTCCCAGCACCCACATGACTGCTCACAACTGCCTGTTAAACCCGTTCCAGAGAATTTAACTCCCTCTTCTGCCCTACACAGGCATCACATGCACATGGTACACATATACTCATGTAGGCTTAAACATTTAAGCATATAAAATAAAAAGTTTAAAAATAACCAAATAAAAACAATATGAACAAACAATCAACAACAAAACCCCCAGACTCTGTATGAAATGAAGCACAGGGAATGATGGGAGAACAAGACTCAAGTTAAACAGCACACCACTCTACATGAAGATGACAGGCAGGACAACGATTTCGGGCCCACTGGAACCACTCCTAACCTCCTGTGGCTCCACTGCCACAGCAAGACTGGGTGGGTGATCAGGAAACCCCCACTAAGCACTAGGGCCCTAGAGTGGCCACACATCTTCATATAACCAACGAGGTTCCAATTCTTGAGTGGGGTCTCAGCGCTGTACCTTACGTTGGCATTGAACTGCCTCTGCTCTTCCAGGCGGTCCTCACTGTAGACACTGTACCAGACCCACTTTCCAGATGACAGAACTGAGGCTTAAAGGGACTGGCTAGGGTGGTCAGTGAGTCTGTGCAGAAACAAACTCTAAAAGCTCTGTCACACTGATGGTAAGGGGTAGGCTAAAGCCACATTTGGGGTCTCCTTGAAATGGCTCAAGGCCTTCTCCCATCTACATAAAATGGAATGAATCTCACCACCATTTGTCCAGCCCTAAGTCCAGAAGTAGTTGAGGTAGGTGCAGGGACTCACCCTCTATAAAAAGCACAAGGCTTAGCTCTGCGTTGTGTATAATGCAGACTAAACAAAGGGCCCTCGCTGGGCTAACTCAGCCAGGCCCACTTGCCCCTGACACTCTCCCAGCCCACAGGGGCCAGGCCACGTCCTTTGTTCTGCGGGACAGGCCGGGTAACAAGGCAGCCAGGAGCTCAGCTGTGGACAGTTTTCATTATTTTCCACCCTGTTAACCTCTATCACAAGTCAGGCTGCTGTCACACTAAATGAGAACGGCAAAGATCTATCTCACTCGTCCCCGGGCTCAGCTCAGGGAAAAAGAGCCTTCATTTCCTAAAGGCCTTGATGACCCTTTCTCTCTAAGTCATCCCTACCCAAGAAAAGGCTCTGAAAGCCCGGCGGACGGGGACCATACTGGGATTAGGACTCCAAACCAGCAGACAGCTGAAGCGCTTCAGCTGGCCTCTGTGAAGCACTGTGGTTGTTTTGTTTTGTTTTTTGACACTGTATTTACCTTTCTAATTATGTTTGCTTATGCAAATATTAAACTCAGACCACATTTCCTAACCACATCATCATGTGTAGTGTGTTGTGTGGTGAGAGGACATGAGCCAGTGGCTACAGTCCTGTAGGTGTCGTCCCCAAGACGGACAATCCAAGCTCAGACCTCAGAGAGGTGATTCTAATGTAAGTCAGCAGCTTGTCCCCTCCCTTGTGTGTCTAGCCATGCTGTGTCACCAGATCAACACATTGGTTGCTGGGAAGAAGAGCTGAGCTACAGTGGGTCACCATCGCTGCTAGCCTAGGGTCACAGCCAGCTTTGAGCAAGGCCAGAGCAGCCTGTACTGCCAAGTCCTTCCTGGGTGTTTCCAACCCATTTTACAAGTGAGAAACTGAGGCACAGGCAACTTAAGTCATAAGCCTAAGGCTACATAGATCACAGGAGAATGACTTAGCCTGTCTAGCATCAGCTGGGACGGCCGGTGAGCATTTCACACAAGAGAAAATCCAGGCACAGGCTTAAGTCACAAGCCTGAAGATAATCAGGACATACAGGTTTTTAAAAGGATACTACCAAGATTGCTTTCTTTCTTAAATGTTAAGGAATATAGTTTCCTACTGAGGTCCTTCTGCACAGGAAAGCATGTTTGAACTTTACATGGGCCCTAAGGAGCAGCCGATTTTAGCCTCTTTCAACAGACTGAGAGGGTAAGGCTACATGACACACCCATTTTACAGAAAATCCTATTCTTCACACATTTACAGAGAGCCTCCATTGTCCCAGGCATTGTGATAGAAGCTACAGACAAAGGTTTCAGGGGACATGAAAAGGGACCCTCTTTACCCTTGGCTCCTGGATAGTTCCCTGGGTAAAACCTTTCCTTTAGCAACAGGGTGTTCCACCAAAGTCTTAAAAAGTAAATCAGCTTTCCTGTGCCTCTCACTTGTGGAATCTGATCCTAAGTAACAATGGATATGGGGAAGCTCACAGTGGGGCCTTTTGTAACAGTAGACTAATGGATATGGGGAAGCTCACAGTGGGGCCTTTTGTAACAGTAGACTAATGGCATTCATCAAAGTGTTCCACAGAAAGAGATTCGGTGCTTAGGTCTGGGGAAGTCAATATAACAAAACGCTATGTAATCATTCAAAACACAAGTAAACATTTTCAGTGTGGGAAATTTTTGACAGAGAGCATTATATAAGTCTGGTAGGTGATAGCAATATCAAATATGTAGTATGATCTTACACAGGGGGGAAATGTGTATGCATTCTAGAAGGTATACAAATTATAAACATGCAAAGAAATGTGTTTGTATAGGTATCATAATCCCTTAAAATTTCAAATTGACTGATAACATTTCTGTTGCTTGCCATTTTGGGTCCCACATGTACCTCCATTTTCCGAGATTGCCCATAATACATGGACACTGCACACCTAGGCACCTAAAGGTTTTTACTCTTGTTGCCACGGGTGCTAAGGTGGCTAAGTACACACAGTCTTTCAAATGCAAATGCAGAGGTCAGATCTTAGTCAGGAGAGCACAGCATAGTCCTTGCCCTCTGTATTATTCAACACAAGTCTTCCTGGTCCCCTGTGTCCAAACTACATCTTGCCATGACAGTAGACTATTGTCGTGGCTGGTCTAGGAAAAAGACTTAGGGCAGAGAGGGCAGCTCACCTTTTTGAAGAGTCTGATGACATCTTCACTGATCTGGGAGAGGCGGACGATGACATTGTTCATGAAGATGTCATTGAGGGTGGCATGGTCTCGGCTCTCCCGCCGAGTCTGATGCAGTACCAGATACCAACAGTTCACAGGTGAAAGCAGGTATTGATCCTTCCTGTGGGGACCAAGACAACTCTGGTTGGCTTCACATCAGTTCATGTAGTCACTTACTTTGAGTCTCATAGTCACCTTCAAAGTCAATCTTATTACACCTTTTAGAACTATGGAAACATGCCCGAGAACTAAGGGGATAGTCCACGGTTATAGACTAGTGCTGGAAATAGGCCTTGGGTCTCTGACTCTCTCTAAGCCCTGGGCCATCTATGCTTCCTCTGAATGTGGCACTTGCCATGTACCTTTTTTGGGAAGACTATCTCTCAATATCTCATGGTCTCTAGGTCTGTGCAGTGGAAAAACCAAAAAGATATTTCCTCTCCTCTAACTTGTCTCCACTAACCCCAAGAGTCCCTTGGGCTCTTGATACTTTTGCCCTTCCCTAGAGAGCTTCCCTAGAAACCAGTGTGACAATGACAACCTTGTGAGAGTTGGCCTGAAGGGCTCAGGTTCTGCATGTGGGAACAGGAGCAAAAGAAGACACAGGTACTCACAGGACAAATAAGCTTTTGTCCTATGGTGGCTGATGGATTCTCAGACTGACTCTAGCTGGATATTATACTAAAATGGATGTCACACTGTGATCCCCTGGAAACAGGTCATCAGAAATCCATTCTCCAGCCTTAGACCTGGAGATCTGGGTTTTAAGAAGGCCTCCTGGGCACTCTAATGTGAGCAGGATCCTGAGAATCTTTGACTGTGTATCATTGCTTCACAAGCTAATGAAACAACAGAAAAACTCTCTGTGTCTCAGCCTTCTCAAGGATTCCTCTCTGAGGCTCAGGAGAAGGCATATATACTCTTCTGTAAGAAGAAAGACAAAAGGCTAAACTCAAGTGCAGCCAATGACACCATCTTACCCCTTGGTGGGGAGTTCTGTTCTCTAAGACTGAATCTTTGTCATGCTGTGCTTTCTAGTATGGAAAGAATAAGGCCCACCACTACCTCCAAAGAAGCCCCCAACCCTGTCTTCTTTTATCCCTGTCCTGAATGGCAGGCTCCTCAGGGAGCTAGTTAAGGAAATGTAGCCACTGTGGCCAAAGCTTCTGAGGAAAGCAACTGCAATTCCCACTATGACTGCACCTTTTCACCAGGGCCGGGTAGGTTTGTTGTAAAAAACTGCCCAAGGGGGTTCTGGGATATCCCTCCCTCACCCTCCCGAAGCTCCTGGAATTTGAGAAGGCAAGAAAAGAGAGTCCATTTAACTTCATGGATATTTTTTTTCTTCTATCACCAAATGGGCTGAAAATCTAGGCAGCAAATATTTGGAAGAAGAAATAGAGGCGGTGGTCAGACCAGCAGCATGGGCTTGACCTGGGAATAATTGGAAATAGACATTTGCAGGGTGGATACTCGACTATCTGAGGAAACATAAAGATTTGTCCTTTGCTGATAACTGAAAAGATCTGCTAAAATTCAGTACCAGCTAGGATCCCTGTGCAGTGGGTCCTGGGTGAGCTGTCTTTATCCACAGGCAACTATAATACAGATTCTGCCAGGGGCTCCTTGTCAAGAGGCGGAGACAATAAACAAACAAACAAACAAACAAGCAAATAATAAAAGGAAGAAAAAAAGAGTTGAAGAGGGTGACTGGGTAGGTCAACAATGCAGACGCACTCAGAACAGTCTCCAGAGTAACTCCATTCCGCTGGAGTTGCAGAAGGCCCAAGCATGCTCGTCCTATGTGCTTGTACACCAGTCTCTTCTGTTTTCATGCCAGGTTCTTCCTGCTGGGACATGCACACATGCCCTTCTTGCTCCCTGGACCATACTTTACACCTCCTTCCTCCCCAACTGCCTCCTCTACTTATTATAAGTATAGCTCAAATGACATTTCCTTCTCAGAGAGCAGTCCCCTGACCATGTCTGAGCACAGCAGATTTCAAGTGTCCTCTCTGGCCTGCAACCCTGGCATTGTGCTGGAGGTTGTTGGAAGTACAAACTGTCAGGAGCATTAATCAGAAACCCTGGGGTTTGGCCTGGCATCCTTGCTTCACAAACCCTCCTGGTGACTCTGACGCATTTGTGACTTTGAGAACTTCTATGTTAACATTTAGACCTGAGTGTCTCCCAGTGGGCCATGTGTTAAACACTTGGTTCCCAAAGGGGTACTATCAGGAGATGTGAAAATCTATAAAAGGTGATGGGCCTTTAGTTCATCGAAAGCACAGCCTCATGAGACCCCAGTCCCTTCCTCTTCCTCTTCCTCTTCCTCTTCCTCTTCCTCTTCTACACTTCCCCGTCATGGGGCCATCAGCTCTGCTGTACGATGCATTCACACCGTGATATGCTGGGCCTTCCAAACGCAGGAGACCCGAAAGCATTAGTGACAGACCAACACTTACAAGACTGTGAGCCAAAAAGAGAACTTCGTTCTGTATAAATTACCTCATGGAAGTCCTTAGAGTTACAGGAGCCTGCCCGATACATTCTGCCTTTTATTTCCATGTCCCACCCATCACCGTCCTGAGAGCTCTTAGAGACTGGGTAATATTTCTGTTGTACTCACTGTGCTCAGGGCCAGCAGCATGTTGGCTACCACAGAACAGATGCTGCAGCAGAATGGACCTTGAGAAAAGTTCTCATTTGTATTTGGTTGTTGAAGGTCAAGTATGGCGTTTTCAATCAGGTGTGTGTGTGTGTATGTGTGTGTGTGCGCATTTGTATGTGTGTATATGTGTGTTTGTATATGTGTGTGAGACAGACAGACAGACAGACAGACAGACAGACAGACAGAATAAATTCTCTCAGGAAGCCTTGAATTCTGAGAATGCTACTAGAGGATTGTTGACAGTGAGGCTGGAAAGACAAGAGGCCTGACTGCAGCAGATGTGGAGTGTCAGGTCAAAGCAGTTGGGGCCCTGCCACCCAGGACACAAAGGTTTGAGCCCATGTTGTACACCAGCATAGTCTCAGGAACTTATGAAAATACCAGGACAGAGTGAATTCAGTGCTCTAGCGTGGAGCTTGATGTTGGTGTTTTGAAACGTTCTCCAAAAGATCTTACTCTCTAGTCAGAGTTGAGAATTCCTGTTCCAGGACATAGGAAGTCACAGAGGTTATTTACAAGTATAAGAAATGTGTGTTTTGGAAAAAAAATCACTGAGTGAAAATTGGGTGGTGAGTAAGGTAGGTGGACTGGATGGATGGATGGATGGATGGATAATGGTTGAATGATTAATAAATGATGGATGGATGATGGATGGATGGATGGATGGATGATGGATGGATGGATGGATGGATGGATGGATGGATAGACAGATGAGTGGGATAGATATGTAGGTAGGTGGCTGGATGGAGTAGATATATGGATGGATGGATGGATGGATGGATGGATGGATGGATGGATGGACAGATGGATGATGAATGGAAGATATAGACGATGAGTAGATAGATGGATGAGCAGGTGGGTAAGTGTGGACATAAACAGACAGGAGCACCACTCATGAAGGAATCCTAGTCCAGGTAGAGAGAGATAGTGAATGCTGAGTAGTGGCACTGGGACCACTGAGGTCTAAACAAACACTCAACAGGGAATGTTTCATCCTGAAGAGCTGCTGGAAACAGGAGTGGGAGTAGGAGAGAACTGTGACTCTGAAATTTGGCTTTTGGGCAACTGGGAGGAAGCCAATGACACAAACTACAGAGAGCTGCAGAGAAGGAAGCAGGTTTGGGCAGAGAAGACATCCCATCTCGCTTCCTCCTGCTTCCTGGGTGGTGATGGAAATGAAAGGATTAAAGGAGAGATGCCATAATTGAGCTGTTACTGAAATTGCTTCAGGGGCTTAGCTCAATCTGCGATGCAAGAACTGAACAGCATCTGGGGAATTAAATGTGTAAAAATTATGGACGTTTCAGAGGAAAGCAAAAAGGCGAGTGATTACGAAAGGACTCGGAAGTGCGAGATTGACTTTAATGATGGCCTTTAATTAGGTTGCCTGGCCGGAACAAAATGGTAGAAGACAGGCAGAAAGAACAGAGTCTGTGGGGTCAGGAGGTGGCATGGCCCACGACTGGGTTGTGGAAGAGTGTAGGAGGGAGGAGTGGGAGGGACAGGAAGAGGAGACGGAAGGGAGATGCTGCAGCAGCTAACTTGTGGGTGCGCACATTTACATGTGTTCACATGTGGGGGCATGCATTTGCACATGTTCACATGCACAAGCTCATCCAGGAGCTGTGTGTATGTAGAAGCTCACATTCTCTTGTGAGCCTCTGCCTGAGCCTTCCACTTAGTAAGAAAGATACACAAAAGACAGGAGATGCTGTTGCGGCTTCATTAATGTAGTCATGGAATGAGACCACAGAGCCTCCCCATTCCAGGTCCAGAAGTAAGGCAGTCATTGCTATCTTCTTTCAGAAAGCACTTTCTAGACTAGGGATCAAAGGCTAGAGTGGACATTCCCAAGGCAAAGCCTTCTGAGTAGAGAAATATGAACAGAGGGCCAGCAAAAAGGAGAAAAGGGCATGCTGGCAAGCTGGAGGGGCCCCACATGATGCTCTGGGGTAAGACCCAGGGTGGCAAAAATGTGTCTGGTGGATCTGGTGAATAAGGCAGAGACCAACAGCAAAAGGCCTTTAAAGCATCATTAGAGAGTCTGAAGTCATCAGGGAGCCGTAGAAGGCCCTAAAGTTAAAAAAAAAAAAAAGTAAAAGGCTGAACTGTCCATAGTGTGACCCTGAGAGAACAGGGGTGACACTCAGGACTAAGCGAGAAGTTGGAGAATTCAGGGCCTGGGTATTGACTGAACTTGGGAAGCCAACTGAGAGGGGTTAGGATTGGAGCTGAGGAGGAATCTGGTATGACATCCATTTTCTGGTCGGGCACCCAGGGAAGCAGAAATAGCCTTTGGGGATTGAAGAAAAGGTTAGAGGTTTGACTGAGAAGGGAGGCAACCCCCTCCCCCAGAGTCCGACAAGGCTGCAATCAGAGAGGCAACTCTCCCCACTCCCATGATGAGGAACAAGGAAAGACAAGCAGGGATAGTGAACCTATCTGCCTTC